GTCAACATTTTATTTTGTTAAAATAAAAGGAATAGAGAAGAAAATGGGAAGAGAAAGATTAAGGAAGAATATAATAGTGGAAAGAGTAAGATGAGAGAATAGATAAGATGGGAAAGAAATGAGTTGATGGATTGGAGGTAGAGTTTGTAGGAAAAGCTCGAGGAAATTAAAAAAAACGTATGACTCTTTAAGTTAAAAGAATCATAAATAAAGAAGATGAGTTGTTTCCCCCCTTTACATACAAACTTTCACTTTCACCCTACTTCTTTTAAATCTATTAATGAATATAGGTAATATGTAGATGGGAAATTATGATCTGTGTTTCATTTTATGTTTGAATGTTTGTGTGTATGTATGTATTGTTATGTAGTTGGGTTTACTTGAATAAAAATGTTTATTAAATTTAAAAATTAAAAAAAAAATCCCAACCACCAAAATAAAACTCTTCTGCCTCTATGCATTTATGTATGTTTACACTTTCTACATGATTATTTCTGGCATTGTTGGCGGCCTGGATTTAAAAACACATGCGCTGTTATACATTTTCTGGGAGTTATTATTTAACACAAAACAGCGAATTGTTAATAACTGTTTCCATTTTTTAAAATGGCTTTAATGCTGTTTCCCCCACCCTCTCCTTAGGCTGTTTGGTGGCTTTTCCTTATACTTTAGCTGCGAGTTTCCACTTTAGCAAGGACTCGTTTGTTCCATTGCCGATGGCTTTGAGGTTTGCCGTCTACTCAGCTTTTGGTACTTTCTAAAAACGTTTTCACCATTTGTTTACTAATTCTTTTGCTTTTGTCCCAGTTCATCAACGGAAAGGAAAGTGTATAGAGTTAGAGAAAGCTTTGGCATATAACTCAGGAACCTCGAATACAGATTACTCGCAGTTTACCTTCAGATGTAAACTTCAGATGTAAACAGATGTAACAAAGAATGGTCCAAAAGTAAAGCTGTTCTTTTTGGGGATTGCACCATTCCTTTTGAATCACCCTGTACATCAATTTGTTGGAGTTGCCAGATGCAATAAGGAACAGGGCTCCTGTAACGTTAATGGTTGGGTAGAAGAGGGAATTTCAGCAGGTGTTGCTTGCATGACAAAGTTTTCTATATTTAAGCGTGGCATTTCTATCAATAAACACTGAGAGTAAAATCAGGGCTGGACAAAAGTAGGGTTTGGCATGTAATACATGGGATCTGGTGTAGAACTAGGCGCCAAAACTCCTGTATCTTGGGGCATTCGACCCACGGGTGGATATAGGAACCAGTGTCCTTGCACCCTCTCCAGCAGCTCATTGGGAGACTCCATACCATTTTTGATAGCAGGATGGAAGTAAGGTACCACCTGTGTATAGTTTTGAGGAAATTTTCCCTTATGGCTGCTGGCCTAGACTTAAATGGGGGTGAGGGCCATATACGTGTCCATGTGGATTCCTGTATTGATAGCTTTAATTCTGATTGACAGAAAGAATGGACAGACTGGCCCCTTCCATATGTGTCTTCCAGCAAATGCCTGTATGTATATGCCGCGATTCCTTTAGTCTGGGCTCTGTTGTTTTTTTTTTTACAAAAAGTCTTGTATTGGGTGAGTGGCCATGAGAGTTCCTCGATAGAGCCTATTCTCGACATGAAGGAGGTGAGTTGGGGCACTTGGAACCAAGTTAGGCCCTTAGTTTGGAAGGATGTTTTTAAAACATCAGGAGATTTAGGTTTTCCATTTGCAAATAGATAAGCAATGTAATCAATGTCTTCCTGTTTCCAGGTTCTGTCTGGGATAAACTGACCAGCTCTTGGTGTTAGAAGAAGAGTTTCAAGGGAGAAGGGTTGGGAGCAAGGACATATATAAATATAATAAGGGAAATAACAACAACAACAACAATAATGCCTCCATTTATTCCAGGTTGTAAAAGAATTATGAAGAAAGGGATTGACAATTGCTTTAAGTTTTGTGTTTTGTGGTCTGATTATGAAGGGGAAAAGCTTCTATTGAATTTAGTTTGCCAATTTCCAAGATAACCCATTTTGCGGAGTCGTCATCTTTGATCAGTTGTACAATTTGGCTTAATTGGAAGGCACGAAAGTAAAGTTCAACATCTGGGACCACCAGTCCACCCATAGGTAGATACAGTGTGTCTGATGTGTTTAGAGAACCTAGGTCTTTTATATGAAAAATAAATAGGTTAATCGCGGACTGCCATTTTGTGAACCTGAAAGTGGAGGTTGTCAATGGAATATTTTGGAACAAGAAAAACAGGCGGGGAAGCAAAAACATTTTGACTAAAGCAATTCGACCCAGGATGGAAAGTTTTAATGTTTTCCATACTTTCAATTTTTGTGTCATCCGCTTGGTGAATGGATTGTAATTCCTGGATATAAGTTGTTGAATGTCTTTAGTTATGATTATTCCTAGATAGATAAAACCTGATGGATGGATATGCAAGTTCGTGTTATTCCTAGATAGATAAAACCTGATGGATGGATATGCAAGTTTGTGAGGGATTGCCACTGCTGATGCTGTTGGTGGGATGTATTCAGGGTCATCATAGTAGATTTATCAAAGTTAATTCAGAAACCTGAGAATTTGCCAAACACTTCAAATACCTCTTTCAGTGAGGGAAATGGTCTTTCTGGGTTGGTCAAAAGAAGCAGCATATTATCCATGTAAAGGGCAGTTAAATTATACTGATTTTGGATCTGATGAGGTTTGCTAGAAGTGTAATCATTAGGGCAAATAAAAGAGGCTACAGCAGGCACCCTTGTCTAGTTCCCCTAGTAAGAGTAAAGGGTGTAGACTCATACTCATTGATTAAAATGTTTGCCTCCGAGCTATCATAGATGTGGCACAATGCCCCAATAAATCTTTGGCCAAAGTTCCTTTCTTATAATATACCAAAAAGGTACAGCCATGCCATTCGGTTGAAGGCTTTTAAAGCATCCAGCGATAGAAGGGCCAGAGGCTTATTTGATTGCTTGGCGTAGTGCAGGATGTTTAATACCCTACGGATCGGGTCTGCCAGTCACTTACCTGGCATGAAGCCCACCTGGTCAGGATTGATGTACTCCAAGATAAACTCATTTATCCTGGTGGTCATAATTGAAGTAAATAATTTGGCATCCTGGTTAAGGTGAGCTATGGGGTGAAAGAATGTAGTTTTGGGGCTGTCTTCTTTTGTCTTAGGAATTGGGATTATTCGGGTTCTGTTCCAAGACATGGGAACAGGGTCTCCATTCAACATGGAGTTGAACAAATGTAGGAGATGAGGCACACACTGATTATAAAGAAGCTTGTAAAATTCACCTGAAAATCCGTCTGGGCCAAGTGATTTGGCTGGTTTCAATTTATTGATTGCCTTTAAAATCTCATCTAATTGGATAGGTTTGTTCAGGAGGATTTGGTGGGGTTCTTTGATTTTTCCTAGATTCAGTGATTTCACAAAGCTATTCATCGGAGTATCTTCAAGCAACTCCAAAGTGTATAATTTGGAATAAAAAGCTCTAAATTCCTGTATTATTTTGTTGTGGGAAGTAAGACTGGGAATAATACTTTTCCTAGCCTTGTGTTTAACCGCTCTGGCCAGGAGGCATGAGTTTTGGGGTTGTTTGGGAGGGGATGGGGATTGCATCTATGTAAATTTTAATGTTGTAAGCTGCCCCAATTGCTCTGCAGAGGGACGGGGTAATTATTAATGCATTATATCTGGGTATAATGTAGGGCAGTTTGTATTTTCCTAGGATCTAATGGTGCTAACTCTGCCTTTTTCATTTGAAGTTGGTGAAAGATCTTAGAACCAAGTGATTCTTTGTGAGTATGTGACAACTGAGCTATGTCTTGAAGGAGTTTGGTTTTGGTGGCATATTTGAGCTTTTTCTATGTGGCTCCCTCTTTAATTAATAGGTCCCTGAGGACTGCTTTCAAGGTATCCCACAGTAGGGCTTCCGAGGTTTCAGGTTTCCTATTTTCAAGTAAAGCTGCTTAATTTCATCTTGAATCTGGGTTTTGTACTTTTTATTAGCAAAAAGGCTGGGGTTAAACCTCCAAATGTGAGGTTTCCATGAGTCTGGGTTTAACTGCCAGGCCAGCACAGTGGCTGAATGGTTGGAATAAACTATAGTTTCTATCTGGACATCAATAACATTGGAAAGGGAGAATAGCAAAACAAGGAAGTAATCAATTCTAGAGTACGTGTGTTTTGTGTGTGTGT